TCTTTCCCTTGTATAACTAACTACGCAGCAATCCTACAGTGTAACATATGGAATCATTTTGAGTAGACTTGTGTGTTGCTATAAGCTTTCAGCAGGTCCTCTGTCTTTGTAGAATAAGCATGTTGTTTATTTTCAGATAATCAGAAATAAGTATGCTGACACACTAGGCACAATTTGACTCTGGCTACTTACCTTTCTTTCCCTCTGATGTTTGAATTGAAGGATGCAGCCAATGAAATTAGACTTGTGTGTTGCTATAAGCTTTCAGCAGGTCCTCTGTCTTTGTAGAATAAGCATGTTGTTTATTTTCAGATAATCAGAAATAAGTATGCTGACACACTAGGCACAATTTGACTCTGGCTACTTACCTTTCTTTCCCTCTGATGTTTGAATTGAAGGATGCAGCCAATGAAATATGTTCAGTTGGTTTTCCTTGGCGTCCTAGATTTAAAAAAAACAAAACAAACCATAGTTTCTCACTAACCTTAGAATATTGTTCATAAAATAAATAAAGGCCCCTGCACTGATGTGACAACATGACTCATGGTCACCCTCTGTATATGTCCTTACTCACCGAAGTATATTTTTTTCCTTACATGCAAAGCAGTTTTATAAAATCACCCTGTTGAAAGAGGTAGGCACAGAGAACCCCATTTGGTTCTCTTCCTTGAGTGCCATTTTCATGGTCAGAAGGGAACCTCTTAGTTGATCAGATTTGTACCAATAAAATTCCAGGTCCATTTGCTCATTTCCCTGTCTAGCACTTTTGTTTCTTCTTCTTCACGTTTGCTCTTTAAGGGGGACAAAAAGAAAGCTGAACAGCAACAACCGCCTGCAAAACCCTGTACCTTTTAGGTCAAGCTTTGACCCCAGCAATGTGAGAACAGCCTTTGAAAGGTATCAGAGGAAAAGTCCGAACCTTTCAGTCTTCCTTCTGACTTTAAGTACTTCCGTGTCAGCTGAAACTAGACACACTTAAGTACAGGCCTCTGTTAGGATAATGGGTCATTTCCAGAATTGAGGGAGGCACAACCTTCCTGCTTAGGG